GAATTCTGTTGAAACAAGGAAATAGCAATTTTGTTTATTCCTTCCTAAGTTAGGAATCCTACTACATTAAGGAATAGAAATCCCACTACAATAAGAAGTTGGAAAATTTTCTTTGAATTCTATTCAAACAAGGAAATAGCAATTTTGTTTATTCCTTCCTAAGTTAGGAATCCTACTACATTAAGGAATAGTCAAGTCAATTCCTACTAGAAAGTGCTTGAACTAATCTGTTCATTTTAATTTGTTTGGGGTTGGTTCTTTTATTTCTTTTCTTGTTTGTTCCTTTGTGTCTTTCTATTTCCTTTAACTCTTGCAGATTTGTTGGAGTTAGATTGCTACAAAATAACTTGAATTGAGCTTGTTTAGTTCAATAATGAACTGAAAGAGGAAAGTTGAGTAAGGGAAAAAGGCAAGAGGTGTGAGCAACACTTGAGAGAAAAGCCAAGTTCCACAGTGTGTAAAACACAAGCGTTGAGTGCCATTCTATGAGAGAGTGGAGTGAAACACGTAAGGGAGTGTTGTGAGGTCCTTTTTATTCTTCTATTTCTAACATTTGTTGTAGGTTTCAATCATGTCAAGCGGTGATGACAAATTAACCACTAGAGGCCACCATGTGGATGAATCCTTCATGCTAAAAGCAATGCAACAACAATTTTAGAAGCTGGACATCATGTTTGGTGAGATTAAAGACAAAATGGAGAAGCAAGATGCAGCGATAGCCAAGTTATACCAAACACAGAATGGAAGTCCGAATTTGCGTAGGAATGATGCTAATGATGATTTCGATGACAATTATAAAGATGCATTCAACAATGACGCCTAGGACTCAAATTTCAACATGGACAAATTTATGAGAGGTAGAGGGGGTCAAAGATATAGATTTAACAAAGGAGACCAAAATCTGGCAAGGTGGGGAGATAGGCAAAATCATGACTTAGGCAGCATCAAGATGAAGTTTCCTCCATTTCAAGGCAAAAATGATCCAGATGTGTATTTGGAGTGGGAAAAGAAGGTGGAATATGCCGTTGATGGAGAATTGCTTGTCACTAGGCAAGCTTTGAATGTGCAAGCCAAAGAAGATGATGAAGTACAACGTGACAATATATTTCACACGAGGTGCCATGTCAACAACAAGGTATGTAGTGTGATTATTGATGGTGGTAGTTGTACTAATGTAGCTAGCACTGTTTTAGTTGAAAAGCTTAATTTACCTATGATGAAGCATCCAAGGCCATAGAAGCTGCAATGGTTAAACGATTGTGGAAAAATCAAGGTAAATAAGCAAGTTTTGGTTTCATTCTCTATTGGACGATATAAGGATGAGGTACTTTGTGACATGGTTCCTATGCATGCTGGACATTTACTTTTAAGGAAACCATGGCAATATGATAGGAGGGTAACACATGATGGCATCAAAAATTGCTATTCATTTGTCATGGAAGGGAAAACAATTACTCTTGCACCATTGAGTCCAAGGCAGGTTTATGAGGATCAACTGAGAGTAAAAAAAGAGAGTGAGCTTGAGGGTATGAAAAACAAAGAGAAAACAGCTAAAAAAGAGTCCAAAAAGAGAGAAAAGATGGATAGTGTTGAAAACAAAGAGAGAAAATCAGTGAGTGTTTATGCAAAAGAAAGTGATGTCAAGGCTGCGTTCTTTGCAAAGCAGCCTATGTTTGTGCTTCTATATAAAGCTGCTTATTTCAACACTAACGAACTTAATGATTCTTTGCCTAGTATTGTTAAATCTCTTTTACAGGATTTCAAGGATGTGTTTCCAGATGATGTTCCTAATGGTTTACCACCAATAAGAGGAATTGAGCATCAAATTGACTTCATTCCTGGTGCAACAATTCCAAACCAACCAGCATATTGAAGCAATCCCAATGAGACGAAAGAACTTCAAAGGCAAGTCGAAGAACTCATGAAAAAGGGACATTTGAGAGAAAACATGAGTCTATATGCAGTTCCAGTGCTACTTGTGCCTAAGAAGGATGGGACTTGGCGTATGTGCGTTGATTGTCGCGCGGTCAACAAAATCATGTATTGGCATTGGTGCTGTTTTGATGTAAGAACGGTGACCTATTACATTTTTCAGTGAAAAATTGACTGGTGCAGCACTGAACTATCCTACTTATGACAAGGAGATGTATGCATTGGTAAGAGCTTTAGAGACATGGCAGCATTATCTTTGGCCTAAGGAGTTCATGATGCATACTGATCATGAATCGTTGAAGCACCTGAAGGGACAAGGTTCTCGAAGATGGCACACTTCATTCCATGTCATAAAACTAACGATGCAACCAATATTGCGGATCTATTCTTCAAGGACGTTGTTCGTTTACATGGCATTCCAAGGACCATCATTTTTTATCGCGATGTCAAGTTCTTGAGTTACTTTTGGGAGACATTGTGGGGAAAGCTGGGAACTAAGCTACTATTTTCAACTACTTGTCATCCACAAACTGATGGACAAACAGAAGTGGTTAATAGGACGTTGTCAACCTTATTGCGTTCTATTATTCAGAAGAACTTGAAGAACTGAGAAGAGTGTTTGCCGCACGTTGAATTTGCTTATAATCGGAGCGTCCATTCAGCAACTAACTGTTCACCATTTGAAGTTGTGTATGGTTTTAATCCACTCACTCCTTTAGATTTATTGCCTTTACCTATTGACGAACAAGCTAGTTTGGATGGGAACAAAAAAGCTAAAGTGGTTAAGCAATTGCATGAGAGGGTGCGACAAAACATAGAGCGATGAACTGAGCAGTACGCAAAACAAGCCAACAAAGGATGCAAGAGAGTTGTATTTGAACCTAGAGATTGGGTTTGGGTGCATATGCACAAGGAGCGATTCCCTGCACAAAGGCATTCTAAGTTGCAACCAAGAGGCGATGGACCATTTCAAGTGATTGCGAGGATTAATGACAACGCATACAAGTTGGAGCTTCTTGGTGAATATAATGTTAGTGCTACTTTTAATGTTTCTGATCTTTCTCCTTTTGATGTAGGTGACGATTTGAGGATAAATCCTTTTGAGAAGAGAGGGAATGATGGGAATCAAGACGACAGCATATCTACTACGTCATGTGATCCATTACACACCCAAGGAGGTCCAGTCATGTGAGCTAGAGCTAAGAAGATGCGTGAAGCTTTAAATGACCTTATTGAGCAGATCTAGGTTGAAAACAACATACAACAAGCAAATCGAAGCTTGGATGATTATCAAGGCATGGTAAACATCATTCAGGTTCAAGAGAAGCTTAGTTGAGGCCATTTGCACGGAATTACACAGTTTGTGTCAAAATTGCACAATTCTGCCGCAATTTGTAGCAAACTGATATTTCATGTTATTTTAGGTTATTTTTAGTGATTTTGACGTTTTTTGTATTATTTTTGGGCTGAACATTCACTTATTTGAAGCCCAATTCGTGGTTATTAGGTTTAGAACTTAGGGTGTTAATTTCCTATTCTGATTAGGATTTGTGTTCTCTATTTAAAAGGCTTGTAACCCTAATAGGGAGGAGGCTATTGAATATGAGATTTTGAGAGACTTTTCTCTTTGGTTCGTTTTAGAACTTTACAGAACTTATCAAGATTATTCTTGTGGCATTCTAACCTGACTTATCATTCTCGTTTTTAACCGTTCAAGGGTGTGGCGTCAACCAACTTTATACCTCTGGTTCTTGTTGCGTCATAGACAACGGGTCAAGGTTTTTACCTTTGGTTCTTGTTGCGACATAAACAACGGGTCAAGGTCCTATTATAAATCTGATTTAGCTTTCCTGGATTTTAGAAATCCCTTGTCGTGCTGTGGGTCTCATTGTTCTCTTTGGGGTTCTCATCAATAAGAAAAGATCTGAAGTATGAGATCATTTTACTGAGATTGTTGATAAGGATGGGAAAGATAAGGCTAAATGTAAGCATTGCAATAACTGTTTTGCTTCTAATAGTATAACTAATGGGACCTCCAGAATGGAAACTCATTTATTGACTTGTAGTCACTATGGTGGGTCTAAAAAAAAGCAAACAATGCTTACTTATTTTGGTGGTCATGTTGAGAATGGTGATCAAATTTTAGGCACCTGGAGGTTTAGTCATGAGTCTGTAAGGAGGTCTTTAGCTGAATTGATTATAGTTGATGAAATTCCATTTAATTTTGTTGAAAAGCAAGGGTTTAGGAAGTTTTGTCAACTTGCATTGCCTCCTAATTTTAATGTCCCATCTAGGAGAACAATAACCAGAGATTGTTATAGTATTTATATGGATGAAAGGTTGAAGCTTAAATCATTTTTCAAAGAATCTAAGCAAAGGGTTTCACTTACTACTGACACATGGACCTCAATTCAAAGAATTTCTTACATGCGTCTAACTACACATTATATTGATGAAAATTGGAAGTTGCACAAAAAAATCCTAAACTTTTGTCCTATTAAGAGTCATAAGGGGGAAGAGTTAGGTGACCTTCTAGATAGGTGTTTGAAAGATTGGGGTATTGAAGATGTATATTCATTAATTGTGGATAATGCCTCATCAAATGGTGGAGTTGTTAGGGTTCTTAGGAATGCCCTCACCAAGTGGGGAACAGCAGTCTTAGGTGCACAAGATTTGCATATGAGGTGTGCAACTCATATCATCAATCTTGTAGTTGGTGATGGAATAAATGAGGAAGAGATGCACAAGAGTGTAACTGCTGTTAGAGCTGCTGTGAAATATTTAAGACAGAGTCCATTAAGATTAAAAAGATTTAAAGCTGCTGTTGAGTTTGAAGATATTGAAACAAAAAAAAGGGTTTGCTTAGATGTTCCCACAAGGTGGAATTCCTTGTATTTGATGCTGGACACTGCAGAAAAATATGAGATGGCATTTGAGAGGTATAATTTCTTGTCTTAAGTTTTGTTTTTGGTTCTTTTAGTTTGGTTGAGTTTATTTATATTTTTGTTTAAGAATTGTGAATAATTTGCTTTGTTTTTTAAAGATATGCTAGAAGTGACAAAGATATGAAAACTAAACTGAATTATGGGAAAAATGCACCTGGCTTTCCATCATGCATTGACTAGGAAAATGTGAGAAGGGTGGTTCGGTTCTTGGAGCACTTCTACTACTTAACTAAGAAGGTTTCTGGTAGTTTATATACTACTAGTAACCTTTTCTTCCCAGAAATTAGTGAGGTTTGTTTATTGAACTTACAAATGCCAAGATATATTTTAAATTTGATTTAAAATTAATTATATGTTAATAAATATATGTGTATGCTAGTATATTATGTCATTGATTAATTTTTGTTTCTAATTGAATTTTAAGGTTGATTGTTTGTTAAAATCTTGGGAGAAAGATGTGGATGTAAAAGACATGGCACAATCAATGAGGGAAAAGTTCCGCAAGTACTAGGGTACTCCTACAGAAATGAACAAAAATAGTTTCCATGTTGTAGTCCTTGATCCTAGGAACAAATTAGGATTTCTTGAATTTTTATTGATAAAAGTGTATGGTAAAGAACAAGGAATGCAACATGGTAAAATGGTTTGTTGTGAATTGAAGAGGTTGTTTGCTGAATATAAGAAAATAGTTTTTGGTGGTGGGTAAGGTCAAACTGTAGTTTTAGAGGGTAATACTAGAGCTAGTAATGCCCCTAGTGAGAGTGAGCCCAAGTATAAAAGTAGGCAACAACTTAAGTTCGCTTATAAGAGGTTCAAAATTGAGAATGGGTTCATGTCGAAGAAAACTGAGCCAGATAAGTATTTGGGAGACGGTGTTGAGGATGATAATGATGATTTTGACTTACTTGGATGGTGGAAGTTGAATGCTCCAAGGTTTCCTGTCTTGGCAGCAATGGCTAGAGATGTTCTAGCTTTTCCAATTTCAACTGTTGCTTCTGAGTCGACTTTTAGCATGGGAGGGAGAGTTCTTGATGCTTTTAGATCATCTCTAACACCAAGAATGACACAAGCCCTTATTTGTGCCCAAGATTGGTTGCGGAGTAAGTTGAGAATAGTTTCAGAAGAGGAAGACTTGGATCTGTTGGATGGTCTCGAGAAAGGTATGATCTTGTAACACTAATTTCTTTTATTTCATTTAACATTTTAAACATGAATTGACTCTGCTCTTCTACTGTTTGTAGAATTTGCCAAAGTGCACATGGATTTTGCCATTCTAGAATGAATGGCTTGAAGGTTTAGTGTTTGGTGTTATGGTAGTAGGTAAAGTAATCCCACTCATTTTTAACTAACTTCATCATGCTGGAATTAACTAGGCGCTGGTAGCATATTATATTTTTTTCTTATGCTGGATTGTTTGTTTTCTTAATTGTTGTATTGATTTTTTCTTAATTGTTGGATTGTTCTATTCTAATATTTATATGGATTGATTGTTTCTTAATTACTAGATTGTATTTTTCTTAGTTGCTGGATTATATTTTTCTTAATTGTTGGATTGTATTTTGCTGGGTTGTATTTTCCTTCATTGCTGGATTGTATTTTGTTGGATTGTATTTTTCTTACTTGTTGGATTGTGGATTGTATTTTTCTTCATTGCTAGATTGTATTTTACTGGATTGTATTTTTCTTAATTGTTGGATTTTTTTTATTATTATTGCTGAATTGCTTTTTTCTTAGTTGCTAGATTGATTTTTTCTTAATTACTGAACTATTTTATTCTTATAATTGCTGGATTTTTTTTCTTAATTGCTGGAGTGGTTTTTTCTTAATTGCTGTATTGTTTTATTCTTATAATTGTTGGATTGCTAGATTCATATAGGCAACATATTAATTTTTTCTTATAATTGTTGATTACTTTTTTTTTTACAATTGTTGGATTCATGTCTTTGCTTATGTTAACCTCATAATTTGTTTTCTTCTTTGTCCATCAAATAGATTCTTGTATATATATGGTGGAGGTGTTTTGGGGATCTTTTTGTTCATATTAGTATATCACACCCATATTGCAGCTGTAAAGAATCAACGCAATAAAGCTTATTGACTTTTTTGGACAACTTCATTCACTTGGAGATTTGCAGTCTTTTGCACAGCTTTAAGTTGCTCAAGTTGCTGCTTTGTTTGGACAGCCTCACATTCACATATGCCTTTGCTTACATTACAGAAAAATGCACAAATGACCAATTGCACAGTGAAAGTTGCATCTCATTTCCTTTTTGTTGATATCCTGACAGTGGATGCATATTTTTTAATTGTCATTTGATAGATAGTGTAATTAGGTTGGTGTAGTCATCCATCACTCTAGATTGTTGATGAGTAGAAAACTATGGTTGCAAGTTTTATAATTTTTTGCTATTACTTTGTTTAGTCAATGTAATCTTCAATCTTGGATGATGGAATAAATGTAATATTGTGTTTTGGATTTCTAGTATTTTGCATGGTATATTGGAATTATTTATTAATGAATTTTGATTTTTATGAATTTAAAAATTACACTAGGTATGTTTTTTTATCCATATTGATATTTTCATGTTATTATGTAAAAAATGCTAAATTTTGGCTAAGTATGGAATGATTTATAATCTGTTATTTGGAAAAAAAAAAAAAAAAAACTGTTTGATGTATTTTTGGTTAAAACCGAATTGAATGTGAAATAACCGATTAAATTGGCAATCGAACCAAAAACAAAAAAAGAAGAAGTTTGGTTTGGTTTTGGTTCTTAAAATTGATGAAAAAAATCGATTAATTTGAAACCGATTTCGGTTTAACCCTAAACGGGTTTTTGGCCAGGCCTAATAAGTACATTATTCTGGATGATTTTCGCCGCAAAATGTTTTGTTAATGTCAAATTATTTATTTAATTATTATAAATAACTAATAATTATAATTATAAATTAATAAAATAATTAATATTTATTTTTATATTTTTTTAATTGTTTTAACTATTTAATTTTAAGTTAATTGGAAAATTTTATATAGTAAACAAATAATAATAAAAAATATTTTTAATTTAAATGAAAACATCTAACAACAACTACGTATAAAAAAATATTAATTGTCATTTATTTATTATATAAAATAATAATAAAAAAATATTTTTAATTTAAATGAAAACATCTAACAACAACTACGTATAAAAAAATATTAATTGTCATTTATTTATTATATAAAATTATTTTATCAAATTTTATCTAAAAATCAAATTAAAACAACAAAATTTAACCAAAGAAAGTATTACTTAGTAAATTAAAATTAGTCTATAAATTAATATTTTTTACAAAAATATATAGTACAATTCAGATGGTGCTAAGTGATACTATACTAACCATTGAATAAGGATGGTCCTCTCATATTAGAGATCTTTTCTATCTAATAATTTTTATTTTATAATCTAATGCAATTTAAATTATAAAACCAGATTTCTTATTCTCTAACACTATAACAATCTGTTAAAAAAAAATTTATAAATTTATAAGATCATACAAAACAAATACAATTACTACACTATTTTTGTGGCCTTAATACAAGGCTGTGTAGCAATAACCAATCCCACATTATATGCTTATTCATATATTAATTTATATAAAAATGGAATTAAGGACAATCAGGACGTTCTAACATTTTAATCGCTTAGATTGATAATAAAAATTTTAAAATATCTTTAATGAATTAATATTTAAAAAGATTTATTAAGAAAATAGTTAGATAATTTTACTCAGAATCATGGTATTTAAAGCATTAAAATATCTTAATTTTTATTTTTTTAATAAAAATATTTTTCTGCAATAAATTTGAAGCAATATATGGTATTACCAGATACGTGATACACATTGTAATAATAATAAAATTGATGGGCATATCGGCATGGTATTGACAATTTTAGTCTGTGCCAATATATTTCAGAAAAGGATTATAACGGGAAACTAGAATGTCCATTATAAAAACAACAACTAATTAGTAATTGAGTCTTTTTGTTTATCGTTCATATTATATTAAATTACAAAATAAAAATTATTAAATTAAAAAATAACTTTCATATTAAAAGGCTTTCCCTAATCTAATAGAAAATGTTGTGCAATTTGATACCGTCTAAATTGCACCACATTTTTTTTGTTATTAATTTGAGATTTAAAAGGTAAAAAAAAAAACCTAATATAACTGATTGGCTATCAGTATGTTGGTTACACGGACAAATAGTACTCCATTTGTACCAAAATAATTGTCATTTTTTTACTTTAAATTTATCCTAAATTAATTATCATGCTTTCATATTTTAAGTTAAATAAATATTTTTTTCTTACTTTAACTCTATTATTATTTATTTACTTTAATTAATCATCCAATCACAAAAGATCTTTTTTGTATTTTATTTCTTTTTTAAGAATATTATAGATAAATATAAATATTTTCTTTAAATTTTTAATTTAGAAAAAAATAAAAAAAGAGAGTTATTTTAGGAGAGATGAAGTATTTATTAACTTTTCATAAAATGATAGTTTTTGTTGCTTGTAACTAAGGTGAAAGGGACATATCTTTTTTAAGGACACTTATTAATATATACTTTAATTCAACACTTCTCATACTATATTAATTAATAAATTATTATTTTTAAATTTAAAATAAAGGTAAAAAAATTAAAAATTTTAAAAAATAACTGAATCAATAAATATTATGAGACATGTTAAATCAGAGAGTATAAATGATATTTTTTAGCAAATGAGTAAATATACATTTTTCGGCTATAAACAACTGTAGACATGGTATATAAACGACAATTTTTTTTTTTTTTTAATCATCGGTCCGATTAAATTAACTAATATAAATTTTGCATAACCTTGTGATGAATATCAAACTTGCAAGGAAACGTAATACAATTTCACCCTTCCCCTCAATTAATTATCTGCTGACCTTGCACCATGAGAAGAGTTGCAAATCCAGTCATGATGGAAAAATGCGCATCTCCTTGACTTATCTTTCAACCACAAGAAGGATTTGATTTAGATTACTTCAACAAGGATTTTAATTTCTACATTGATTATGTAATTTTTTCCATTTTTCGCTTTTATTTTAATTTCTTAACGAAAATTGTAATTTTCTAAAACATTATTTTAGTTAGAATTTTTTATTTTATCATGTAAATTAGTATGTTGAATGAAGGTATAATACTTCTTATTTTATAGTAGATGAAATTTTAATATTTTCAAATTTTAGATTAATTATTATGTTATTAGGTTTTTCTGTTTGAAGTCATGTAAACATTGTTAAGATTTATAATTACTTTTCTTAAAAAAAATTAAAAGTTGTCATAGAAAATGAAAATTATACACTTACTACATCACATGAGATTAAAATTTTATAATTATAATGCGATATTTAACAAATTGATATATATATAATATCATACATAACCCTTCCAAATAAAAAAGCCAATTATTTAATTTTTAAGAATACCAACCGCCCTCACACTAAGAAAACGAAACAAAAAACCGATAATAGATTGTACTCAGTTCAATATTTTAAATAGGCAGTAATGAGATGTCCAACTGAGTTTATACCAAGCAATATAATTCGGAATGGTCGGTCAAAAACTCAAGAATCGTTGTATTAGCTTAACACCTAAACATTAAAAATAGGCTTATTTAACAAGCAGTTTAGTAATTTTTTTATTTTTTTCTATTTCGTTTATTATCTCTGAATACTTTCAAATCCATCTATTATTTTTCACTTCTATCTCAATTTAGTTTAGTTCACTAACTTTCTAATGATAATTTTATTTGGTTTGGTCAAATTGATTTTCAATTATATATTTTGTGAACTTTTACTCCTTAAAATTAATTATGAGATAAAACTAACTATATGAGGATCATAAGTTCCTTTTCACTATCTAAAGATCTAGAGCCTTTGTCACATGTTGCTTTAGTTTTTTCTTTTGACGATTCTTTTTTGTTACAAAACCATAATTATTACCATACTTTAATTGTTTGCATAATCTGTCGCAAACTGCTTTACTAGTTGAATCTAGATTTTCAAAGATTTCTTTCTTTCTTGTCAAGTTTCTTTCTTTTGAGCTAGTTGATCAATTCCATCACAAATTCTAATTAATCTATCTCTATATTTCTTGAGTAATCATAACTTATTATTATTTTTCTAAAACTTAAAGGACAACACTATTTTAATTTTGATTTAACTTTTTATTATCCTTCCATTAAAACTAATAGAAATTTTGTATGGTAAACTATTTTGAAATATTTTATAAAATTTATAAACCATCTAGAAAGAAAACTAACTTTTTAGACTAAAATAAAATTAAGCTAATAGTTAATAGTAATAGACTAATTATTGAATTAAACCATTAAAAATATATGATAATAGAATATATCAATCTTGACTTCAAATTTTCGTTTATATGAAACTACCTCATGCATTAAATTTAAATAGGGGGTTTTTATGTCAATTCACTTGAAGGGGTACTTTCGTCATTTTAGCTCTCATGTTTTTAATTTAAAGGCTAACGAAGTGTTACATTATTTGAGAATAATAATAATAATACAAAAAAGAAATCAAAATTAATATTGACTGTCCTTCAAATTCATATGGTCAATCTTGATTTTTTTACTTATATTATTTGAAATGAATAAGTATCAATTTTATGGACTTAACAAGGCAACATGTCGCGTCTTGTGTAGCGTGGTTAATAATTTCCATTAGTACTTTGTTTGTTCATTACAACATTTATTATAATAGATTACAATGATTCACATGCATTTTAAATAGATAGTAAATCAACATTACAATATAAATTTTCTATATTCAAGTGTATAAAAAAACATAACTAACCATTATTCTAAAATAAAAATTCTAAAGAGTAAATATGCAACAGAATATATTAAATTATACTACAACTCATCCAACATAATAAAATGTGATTTTAAATGAGATATATGATTAATCAGCTCTTGCTTCTAGAATTCAACTGCTTTTATTCAACATTCAAAAGTTCCCCCTTCTCAAGTCACATGGTGGAAACTCTCACCATCCCCTCATAATTT